GTCTCTCTCGTGAACCCAGGAATCGCTCCTCTTTGCTGTAGGAAACTGACTTCTCCTTCGAGGCTGTCCTTCCTTGGTCCTTCTCCAGGGCTCCTGATGTCTTTCCCCATAGCACGTCTCCTCCTCCTGCCTCGCTCCCTGCCACGATTCCCTCCCTGGTCACTAAGAGAGCCCCTGTTTTAGGCCATAGCCACGTTTAGTTTCATAGTCACTCCATGAGGTAAAGACGCGTCCGTAGTGCCCTCAGGTGAATTGGACTTTCTAATGTCACACAGCTCTTCAGTGGCAGAGCTGGGGTCTGAATCCAGATGTGTGCTGCGGAGGCTCCACTGCTTCTCAGTAGGATTTGGGTAAATCAGACGATGCCTCGCTCACTAAATCATGGGATGAATTATTTGGCGTAAGTCATAAATTAACCCATAAGTTATCCGTTATCACAACTTGGGTTTTTCAGCTTAGGGTGTTGGTTATAAACTAGAGTAGATTTTGTCTCGAAACCAAACGAAATTGACTCTCTAAACTGTAGCTGGTTGTTCTGACTACTAATGAACTTTAGCATCATCTGGGTCACTGGTTGGTGTCTTCTATGAAGATAGGTTTTAGAGTTTGTAAAACAATGGAAGTTTTTCAGTTTATTCCACCAAAAAGGACAAATGGATTATCTTTTAGGCTGAACCTAGTCATGGGCAACTGGCCTTATTTCATAATTAAGTGACTACACAGTGGGAAGTAGTTTTCTAGGAGCACTGGGTGTGGTAGGAATGTGCTTGTCATCTTTTAAAATGTATCGTGCATTTGATTCATTTGTTATTTTTATCATCAGGCTTCATCTCTCCCCTCCCTCTTTTCTACAGCAGAGCACAACCTCTCTGAGCTCATTAAACGAATATAGCTATGGCTGTAATGAAAAGGAAACTTTTTAGCATTTAATTTATGTCAGAGCTTAAACATGTGAGTTTTCCCTGTGATTTTGCCAATAACTTATCCTTTTACAGTGAAAGAGAATGAAAACCACCTTAGAGTAGGTTTTTTTTTCATCCTTGTCATTTTCCGTTTTGTGCAGGGACATGAGAAGAAATGAAAGCTCAGTCTGCAGGTTGATGTCCAGGCACAGTTGTCAGGGTGCACGGGATTCAGAAAAGAGGGGCCAGTCTTGGCTTCCAGGAATTCATTTTGGAAATTTTGGTTTGTAATAATGTTAGGAGGAAAATCCCAGAATTAATAAAAAAATCTGTGATAAACAGCTGCCGATGGCATTTCTAGCTCAGTGATAACGTTGATGATGATGATTGAATTCAACTGAGGAAGCATAATAGCTAAGGAGACTGTCTTTTATTCCTGCCTTGACATTCTAAAAGTGCACCTTTATCTCATCGTCTGCGGGATTATCATAAAATGCTTTCTTTTTAGTTAGCATTACTTTAAATTTGGGCTACATCTGAATGTCAGGGTTAAAAATTGGAAGGGGAACAGTTCAAGATGAATAAGACACCTGAATGAGAACGTAGGCAGCTCCGCTCCTTCTCTCTAGGAAACCTGAGGCCTTGGAAGAAATGATGTTCACTGCGTCACTGAGGTGGAAGTTGCTGCAGCTGGCTTCAGGAGCAGAGTCCTGCGGGGAGGGCAGCAGACCCCGTAGCTTGTCAGGGACAGCAGCGTTCACACTGACAGCACTGTCAGTGTGGGGCTTGGTGAGTCTGGAGGGCTGGCTTATTCAGACCTTGACTGGTACGTGGGCCTTGGCCTCTACTGAGGAAACAGGTGGTGCTCCAGACTTTCCAGATCTTGTGAGGTCTGTTTCGAGCTCACGGATTCAGCCCTCTGCCACCTCCTCCCCTCTAGGAAACCAGCCACATCTGGAATCTAGAATTCTCTAATTTGGTGAGACCAAGAAGAGCCCCTCTGAATCCACATTCACAGCACACTTTCACCTGCAGATCTTCTTCTAGCCACTCCCTAGAACTTTGGTGAGTGCAGAAAGAAAAGTCAAACATCTCATTGTTTCTTATCCAACCACAAATCCTCCGTTAAGCTCAGTAACTGATTCTCTGTATAAAGAACCATGACCTTAAAGACAAGGTAAATATTGTCTTTAAATGCAATAGATGTGCGACTGATGATGGCTTCTCCTGCCATAGAGATCTATGGGGTAGACTGTATTTCTCAAGGGTCTCTGGAGAAACAGTCACACCACGTGCACGCACACCAGGGAATTGGTGATCATGCAGGTGGGGAAGTCTCGAGGTCTGCAGGAGAGGACAAGCTGGCTCTAGACCCAAGGCTGATGGCTCAAGACCCAGGAGGAGCCAGTGTTCCGGTTCACAATCAGGCAGGGAACTTCTCTTGCTCCAGGCCCTTTGGGTCTGACCAGGCCTTCAGCTGCTTAGATGAGGCTCACCCATATTAGGGAGGGCAGTCTGCTTTGCTCAGTCTATCCATTTAAATGTTAATTGCATCCAAGAACACCCTCACAATCACATTCAGAATATTGTTTGAGCAAATATCTAGACACTTGGGGCCAAAATCAAGTACAATAAAATTAACCATCATAAAAGCTGATGTCAGGATTAGGATAAAGAGCACGGTTGAAATAGTCACTTTCCTTTACATTTTTTACTAAATTCCATTTTTAAAATGCCTCTACAGCATACACTCTTAACTGAGGTGCTTGTACTCTTGGAACTTAATCACATACATTAGCCAAAGTCATGGTCTTTGTAAGGTCTCTCTTGGTCTGTTAGGGTCCCACTGCGTTTCCGTCCTCCAGCAGATGAAAGCATCTGGATTCCTGTTCTTGTAATGAACTCACTTGCATGTTGGGGGGAGAGATTTAGGAGTGTTGACAAAATTTTGTTGTTTTCTTTCTTTCTTTTTTTTCTTGACAAAATTTTAAGATTCCTTGTATATTGTGTAGGATCAAACTGTCCTTGCCTTTCAGTGGTACTTTGATGGGTATTCACATGAATACATTAAATGGCACTTTAAGAAATACTCTGTAGGCTGTAGAACTGGGTGTAAGTGTAAGAGATTGTCATCTTTCCTGACCTGCGGTGACTGGTCCAGACTGGGCTCTTATTTCCTTCATCCTTTTAATCCACTACGATGGTCTGCACATCTTTCCTCTGGCAGCCAGTGACTTCTTCGTTTACCTTCCTCTCAGGTCTACAGTCCCAGTAGACCTCCCAGAAGAGTAGTCTCAGCAATTTCACACTGAGTGTGTGTGTGTTGAGGGAGATCTTGTAAGCTTCAATATGTCACCCAATCTGGAAATATCTACATATTGTGAGAGGACAAAGGAGAACGTCTGTGATTATGGATTTTCAGGAGCCATCTAGAGGGGAAGAGGTTTATGAGGTGGAGCTGGAAGTCTAGTTTCCACTGCAGCTTAGGGTCCTGATAGCCTCAGTTTATCCCTGTCACACCTGGAATCTAGAATTCTCTAATTTGGTGAGACCAAGAAGAGATTTGCAGTTCCCATTTGAAGTCTCCTGTTGGTTTTGAGCAGTGGTTCTCACTAAGGCTGGGCACCAGAATCACAGGAGGCACTTTTGAAATCTATACTGTCTTAAACCTGGGACCTGATGGGTGGACTCTTTGGGGTTAAGACTGAGTCATCTCTGTTTTAAAAGCCACTGTGTCCTGCTGTTCGCTCTGGCTAACACCAGTAGGTTATTCCACCATTGGCAAGGATACTGAAAATCCCACCCCAGACAGATTTATTTAGGAAAGCAGACACACCTTCAGAGGAGAAGAGGGCCATCTCCAGAGGGAGAGACGTCCAAGGGCAAGTAGACCCTTTACCCTGGTTAAATTCCTTGTGGACATTCAGGTCCTTTCAATGCTCTCGTGAGTGACTTCATTGTTTTACTGACAGTGATGAATCAATGAATTATTATATTAAGATCTTATAGCCATTATATTTCTTTCCCACAGAAAAGTTGTTCAGTGACCTTCCTAAGGAAGTAATACAGACAACTTAGAGGAGGTCTGGGGAATACCCAGAATTTGTAACTTTTCTGCAGGGAGAGACTGAAGGGGTCACAGTGTCCAGGGTTGGAAGTCCTCCAAATTATTATTGATCCAGAATTAAGAAGCAACTTGGCAAACTGGAGATGCGGTGGCTGCAAAGGCAGTGACATAATCCCTGTCCTGAGCTCTTCAAAGGCAGTGACATAATCCCTGTCCTGAGCTCTTCATGATGGGCCCTTGCTGTAGGCCTCTTGCGTTCTGAGATGGTCCTCCAGACCTGTGGAGCCAGCTTTCTGCTTGGCTTCAGAGCTCCATATTGGCAAGTGACCAGAGCCTCTCTCCACCTATAGTTTCCATCTTAATGGAGTAATGCTTGTGTGTAACACACTGTGACATCCTTGGGAAAGTGACGCAGGCCCCCAGGGTTGGACTTGTTTCTTTACCCACTCAGGACTTCAGTTTTGAATAACTAGGAGGAATTTCCGTCGTGTAAATAACTGTAGATTCTTTAATTTCATTCAGATGTACAGATGGTTGTTATTCTCAAGATCCCTAAAATAGTGGTCCCAGCCCTGTTTGTCCTCACCCCCCAAGTCCATTTGCTTCTTACTGTTCCGAGTCAGTTACTCAAGTGAACAGGACTGCAGAGGCCCTGCCTTTACAGAGCCAGTTCAGTTCATCTGCTTTCGGATCACAGGCTGTAAATGGGAAGGAAAATGAAACAAAGGGGAAAAAAATCATGTTTTGATTTTGCATCCTGTTGTAAGTCAGTGTGGTTTAATGCCGGAGTTCTCCAAAGATCATGCCATCTTGGCATGGCACGGGATCGGGACCACCAGCCACCCTTGGTTTTTGGCTGCCCCATAAGTGTATTTTGTTGGGAGCACGGAAGTGGCGAGCAGAGAGGGCTGGTTTAAACCTCTGCAACTCCAGCTGAAACTAATTTTTCCTTGACGTTTGATTGCATTTTCTACTTGGTCCATGCAAACTCCTAAGTTTCATTCAAGTTCCCTCTGCTTTTGCTGTTTAAGATCCAACAGTGGGAGCAGAATCTGGAGAAATTTCACACGGACCTATTCAGGATGCGCTGCTACCTGGCCAGCTTACAAGGCGGGGAGTTACCGAACCCCAAGAGTCTCCTTGCAGTCGCCAGCCGTCCCTCCAAGCTGGCCCTCGGCAGGCTGGGAGTCTTATCCGTGTCTTCTTTCCATGCTCTGGTAAGTTCCTTGGGAGAGGATCACAGTGGCTGTCCTTCTCCAGCTTGTCCCCCTCAGCTCCTCGGGAAGTGAATCTAGTATCTGACGGGACTCATGCAAAGACCAGGGGCTGGGATGTGCAGAGGAGACCAGAGAGAGCCCGGTTTCTCTACTGCGTCTTTTAGGAACCCCACTGCTAGCGGACAGTTAGTCCATATTCGTGTCCACACCTGCCTGCCCTCAGCTCCTCTGCATGCCACCGGGCAGGCGGGATCCTTGAGGAGTAGTGACAGTGGCATGAGGAAGCAAGGAGGGTTGTTCGTGTCAGAGCTGCACTGGGTTTTCTGGGATTGCTCCTGAGGGAGTCTGAAAGCTCCACCTTGGCTTGTGCTGCCTGGTAGGAGAGAGCTGCATGGTGGGTCCGGGACACGGAGCAGCCCTTGACACCCGCCAGGACAGGTTTCTAATGAGCAGAGCTTCCTTCTTCCAGGGCGACTGTGAATGCTTCTCTGATTTTCTAAACTGTTTTAAATCAGGTGTGTTCTAGAGATGACTCTGCTCTCCGGAAAAGAACCCTTTCGCTGACCCAGCGAGGGAGGAGCAAGAAGGGCATATTTTCTTCCTTAAAAGGGCTGGACACGCTGGCAAGGAGAGGGAGGGAGAAAAGAGCGTCCGTGACTCAGGTGAGTCCCGGCTCAGAAGGACTCCAGCTGGGGCGACCTTCCTGAAGCCCCTGTTTATTGGCCTGCTACGAACTGTAGGTGTTCATGCTCTCTTCAGGGTGAAATAAGAGTTTGCTCAGGCCGGGCGTGGTGGCACACACCTGTAATCCCAGTGGCTTTAAAGGCAGAGGCAGGAGGATCGTGAGTTCAAAGCCAGCCTCAGCAATTTAGCAAAAACGCTAAACAACTCAGTGAGACCCTGTCTCTCAATAAATACAAAATAGGGTTAAGGATGTGGCTCAGAGGTCAAGTGCTCCCGAGTTCAATCCCCAGTACCCTCCCCCTCCAAAAAAACAGTTTGTTCAAAGCAATCCATCTTGGCATGGACTTTTGATTCCAAGGGAAGTATATGCAAGTTGCTCTGTGTGCCCATGCACACCTGCGGGAACCTTGTGTAGTGCTTAGGCACACGAAGAATTATCAGACAATAATCCACACTCTTCAGTGCCTTTGGTTCTAACATTTATTTTCCCATAGCCTTCATATGAAAATAAATGTAGAAAGTTAATACCAATCAGAGCGACTGCAGCTAAATTCTGTTGATAGTGCTGGATTCTTTTTTCACTCAAACCTCGAAATATGAAGAAGGAGTTTCATCAGCTTGTTTTAAAGAAAAGGAGACTGACACTAGGAGAGGTTAAATCACTCACCGTAGCCTTGTGTGGCAGCACCCTAGGGGCAGGGCTGGGACTTATTTGCCTTGAATCCAAAACCCTGAAACACTGGACAATTGCTGCTGCTTATTTTCCCTTTAGAAGTAGTGGCTCTTTTACCATTTCACCAAGAAAAGACAGCCTGAACATTTACTACTGGAATGTCGCCCAAGTATGGCGAATTGTGTTCAGATCTGAAGTGTTGCCTAATGCCCATAACATAGCCTGTGACAAGGAGTTTCATGGTGCGATTGGTGTGTTTTAGGGTTATTATTTTTTCAAATACTGTAGAAAGATAAGTCGTGTGACGATCTGATCCTGTGAGTGGGGAGAATGTGCGCAGTGCCCTGGGGAGGAGTTCTTGGTTTTATTTTCAGAGGGCTGCCATTCTTCTGAATATACTTTCAGTGTCATGGGAAAGAGTGGTCACATTTCGTGGAACTTTATTTTCTAATTCGTGTGTGACTCTTTATTCAGAAGTATATTATGCATTTATGAATTAGGTGAATAAAAGGGCTAGTATCAACTTTTTTGACTTACCTAAGACCTTGAAACAACAAGGTCAGAAGTTGGAGGGAGTGGATTAGCTGATGGAAAGATAGCAGAAACACACGTCTTCTTTTACGTAGCCAAGAATATCACACTTTAAAATCATACTTCTACTTATGACTACAATGCATTATGCAAATTAAAATATAAGTCATTGGCTACACTGGGCCCAGGTTTTCTCCTCCACCACCATATATTTTTTTTATTGGTACATTATAGTTGCACATAATGCTGGGACTTATGGTCACAAATTCGTACTTGCACACTGGGCCTGTGCTTCCTGAGCTGAACTTCTGAGATGTTTGAATGATGTCTTTAAGGCCAATCATGATTTTATTCAAGATGATCAATTTTGTGTCATTAAAATGGATAGCTTGCTTGTTTTTCTTAGATGTAGGTGTTTAGCTAATTACAAATGAGCTTAAAATGGTCTTTACCCCAGCATATATGGTAAATGTTCCCAGCAAAAAGTTTATTGATGGACAAAAAAGCATTTGTTTGAACATACGTTTTTGTATTTAAAAAAAAAAAAAAGATGACACCAACTATATTATTAGTATATATATAATTGAATCAAGTTGATTTAGTAGCTATTATTAAATGTTTAAATGATCTTTAATGCTAGTTATCTACAAAATTTAGAAGGAAATTTGGAAACTTAAATGCTTCGTAGTCTGTCTATCCAAACACAGACACGTTTAACATTTAGCTGTTTTCTTTCAAAATTTATTCTGCATGCATTAAAAGAAAGGATAAGCTTGATTTTGGAGCCTTTGCCAACTCTGAGCTCTGTTCCATCTCTTCAAAAATGTGAACTTGTCAAAAGTGACATCAAAAAGATTCAGAATGACTTGAATAATATATGACATCATAGAAAAGTAAAATACATGACTAGGAAGAAAGAAAGCAACTTTTTTTCTTCAAAGTTAGACCTTCAATTGGGTTAGAATATTAGACATTACAAATTGAGAAATGAAGATCTTATGTTACACAACTTTAATTTTTAAACACTGTAAAAGGGTGGATGCCATATGAACTTCTCAGAGCCATTTTTTTTTTTCTCTTTTACCCCTGTCTGTCAGATATTTGATTCGAATAGCAGCCATGGATTTTCTGGAACCCAGCTACCTCAGAGCTCCACCAACTCCAGCGAGGTAAAGTCTGCTCCAGGCAGCCAGCTTGATTTGTATCAGTGACACAGATGCTCTGTGAAGCAGGGAATGCTGGCTCAGCATTCTACTTTCAACAGATTCATCAGAATCTCTATGTGAATCTGTTGAAAATAAAGTTAGAATCGAAATGGTCCCTACTAGGTAGACTAAGATGTGTCCTGAATGCCAAGTCTTTGGGGAGGTAAACTCATGCCAACACCATCCTCGAATTAGTGGCACAACTCGACTAAGGTCCTGAGAGCCTCTTCACTGGGGCTTCTCTTTTCCTCACCTGAAGTTGAGTGAACCCCAAACTGCGTTTTCCTCTCCTCGTTCCTGGAGGTCTTCCTGCCATACATTCGGTGCTGTGGGTGTCTCCAGGTGCCCTCTGCAAAGCCCAGTAGACTCTCTTCCCAGGCTCCAGATGCGCTTCTTACCAAAAACTCCTCAGCTGTTTCCGAATGACATTCTGAAGTGGGGTGAAGTACTCGGGCCTCTTCTTTGGTGCCTTTTTAAAACCCACACCTTGCCCTAGAAGCTGGTGCATGTTTTGGATCTGTTTCTCTGACCTCCCCCTCACCAAAGCATTTTGTCTTCAGTGTTATTTCTAAAGAAGCTCTGAGCTGTTTGTTGGAATTGAAAAGCTAATGATGATAGGCTTAGACAAACTTAATATCCCTTTGCAGAAGCAGGCAGCCTTCTTTAGTGAGTCAATAGGGATAATTCAGTGAATTGGGAATTTAATTAGGAAAAAAATAGAGGAAAGTCGAGTGTTAGACCCTGTGACTAGACCGGGGAAGGGGAGTGAGGAGGAACCCTTGGGTCATCCTAACATATACAGCGTAGATGGCCGTATTCTGCGTGCACGTAAGGCTGATTCCGAGCTGTTTGGCCATCATGCTGCTGAGACAGCTCCAGGTGACAGCTCGGCCTGCAGAGTCCTGCTTCCTGGAGAGTGAGCTTAAGATGGGTCAGGAGAGCCTCTGCTGGGTGCCTTGCTCCTCATCACCTCCGTCCTTAGGGACAGGGCTGCCAATAGACAGGTTATGCAACGGAGCATCTTGTACCAAGAAGCTGGGCCTCCGAAGTGGCTCCTGGTCTGTGTTCCACTTTTGCTAGATTTAACCGACCATGGGGGACGAGTGCCTCCTTTTCTAGAAGTCATGATGAGTGGTCAGAAGTCAGACCTTTCATGATGAATGGCCTCCCTTCCCAGCCCCTTGGGTTCTGTGCATCTGCAGAGGCTGTTCAGTTGGCATCCGTTTCTCCGTCCTCCGGGGACAGGACTCTTTGCTGCGGTTGATGCATCCCCATTATTTCCTGGTTTTACTCTGTCCTGCCTTTTCCTATTGGCTGCCCTGTCGGGCGTATGCGTCCAGGATACCTGGTAGCCAGGACCCTTGGTCTGGAGAGTTTGTGTATATTCCTTTGTTAGGTATATATTCTAAATCGGTAACACACTGCCGAGGGTAGAGCACTAGCTTATGAAAGTCTGCTAATTGTGTTAGGTGCCATCCTCCAATGGCTGAGAAGAAGTGTTTGCTCTCTGAGAAAATTTTTGGGTCTTATCTCTTCCAACATCAATAACAATTTAAAATTCTTACTTTAAAAGTTAAAGAGATTATATCTCAGGCACTCTTACCCCTCCCAGGCACACTGGGCTGGGAGTCATGATGAGTCTTTCTTTCACCTTTGATTTTAATAAAATCCTTGCTTATTTGCTTAAAGAATAAAAGAAATTATATCTTAAAACATTTTCTGTTATCTGAACTTATGGTGGATTTTGACAGTCAAATTTGCTAAAATAGCCATCAATGGTGAAATTCAGTTTTGTGCTTATTTAAATCAAGCTCAACTTACCAACCCATCTTGTGATTTAATTGACAGACCTTACCAAAGCACCAGGGGTGAGAGAAAACCATTGCTGCATCCGTTTTTTTAAGCATGTATATTCAGCGATCCCTGTTTATTTTAACTATGCATCACTTCCAGTATAGGGATAATCAAAGACGGTCCTTTTGTGGGCAGGACTGTTTTAGTGGTGCATCTGGTGAGTCTGTTCTTTCTGTGCTGCCTGCAGCACTGAGCTAACTAGGTCTGAATCGAATTGCAGCTAAAACTAAGGGCGTACGTTAAAACAAAAAAAAAAAAAAAAAGTCTTTGGGACTGAAAATTCTTCCTGTAGCTGGCCAAGGAGTTAATATTACATTTCATTGCTTTTCCTCTGCTGATCACTCTTGGAGACTATTTATAACCAGCACAAACCATCTATTTTTATACAGTAAGTACAATATGTCCATTTGAGTAACACAGAAAGGCCATTGTGAGGGAGGGGCTGCACGCAGTTTTAAACACTCTAATTGGTGCTTCCCGTCCTGTCCAGCACTTAGTCACCCTAATCCAAAGTCTGTTAGGGCTGGAATAAAGCCAGTCTCATTTGAGCATTTTTAAAATGACACCTTGGCTAGCCAAAAATGAAAACGTTTTGGTCTCCTCCTTGATGAGCAAGGAGGAGCCTCCTGCAGTGTGGCCGGCAGAGTTTGTTATGGAGATTGTGACAACAACCCCCCACCAGGCTCCGAGGGTCATCTGCCTCCAAAGCTGCATCCCAGACATCCTGCCAGCCTCTGGCCTTGGCCCTCTCTCCTGGAAAACTGGCCTGGGGTGTCCCAACTTTATGGCAGCGAGTGAATGAAGTATTGTTGTATTAGTTATTAGCTCCTAACTAGATGGGTGTGGGGGGACCTCATGTCGGTTTGTTAAGTGGAAAATGTGAATTAAGAACTGACTCCTGACCGCAGGATATGCTGTTTAAATAGGGAGATCGTCTGGAGCCCTGCCCGGCCACAGACAGACGTGTATGGTCCCTGGACGTGTGTACGCATGTATGTACAGCTGGCCATCCGGGGCTTTGTCTCCCTTCCTTCCAAATGATGCTCGGGCACCAGCCCAAGAAGGAAGTAAACACTGGGCCTCTGTGACACTTCACTGCTAAGGACACCCAGAGCACATACCTCCTTTTGTGCCTGCTCCTCATCTCACTTGCTAATAGACTTTCCTTTTATCGGCAACTGTGGCGGTGCCGGCCCATTTGTGACAGCCAGATTGCGACTTTGCTACTCGCTCCCCTCCTGTGATCCAAGTAGTAATTACCAGGCATTTGATCCAAAAGCATCTGCTGTGAGAACACACGGGTTTCCATACTGAGCAGAAGGAATCTGACATGTGGTTTCAGGACCATTCAAGTAATAATAATAAGAGACGTCGCCCTGCAAGGAGGGAGCAGCAGATTTGCAAGTGTTAACTGGTCAGGGTGCTGTGGCTGCCGATTGGCTGCAGATCGCTCTGCTCCCGCGTCATGATGGCCAGGGCGAGCTGGAGGGCAAGGTGCTCTAGGTGTCAGTGGCTCCACTCTCCTGGGTTGCCCGGATTTTTTTTTTTTTTAATGGGATGACTCCCCTGCAGTTCTGACATGGCCATCCTTGAACTGCCATTTCATTTAAAAATGGTTATGGGTAGAACAACCTAGTGCCCCCGTCCACGCTGCCCTTCTGAAAGTCTTCAGAGTGTGTCTTTCAAACACCATTCTCCTGTCTCCCTGTGAGGCTGGTGTTTTTAATCTCGTAAAGGTAAAGAAACAGAAGTGCAGAGACATGGTGACCAGGCTAGCCAGGCCTAGCCAGGCTGGTCCTGAACCAGATTGTCTTCCTGTTCGTGTATCTTTGCCACCTTCATCAGTGTTCTCCAGAGACTGGAAACTTGAACAAACAGTTGGAAGTTTTTAATGGGACGCGGGGAGGTGTCGGAGCAGGAGGTGGTGTGGATAGGCAACAGTCTTGACAGGTAGCCACTGGAGGGATTCTGGGTGAGTGGTTAAAAAGATTTAATGTAGTACCTTTGCAAAGGATATGTTGGGAAAAGAATTTTCCAGATGGAAACAAGTTTTTGTTTGTTTTCAAGATTCTCTATTCCTTTTATGAAAAGAATGTCAGAATATTTATCTGGCTTATTGAAACTAAAGCATGTGTATTTTTAGCTTAGATAGCATTGACCTTTCTCAAGGGAATCCATCCAGCTTTCTCTCCAAAGGGGAAAGCTCTCAACAACCTAGAAGATCTGTAATCATCAAGTAGGTTTGTTTTCTAGTTCTAATTAATTAGTTCCACATTCTTGAAGCTTTCTTTGAATAATCAGGTTTTATTTATTTATTATTTTTTTGGTACCAGGGATTGAACCCAGGGTGCTTAACCACTGAGCAACATCCCCAGCCCTTTTATTTTTTATTTTGAGATAAGTTCTCACTACGCTGCTTAGGGCCTTGCTAAGTTGCTGAGGCTGGCCTGGAACTTGTGATCCTCCTGCCTCAGCCTCCTGAGTCCCGGGAATTACAGACATGCACTACCACACTGGCGGATTTTTTTTTTAATTTTTTTTTTTTTTAGTGTCAGTGAACCTTTATTTTTATTATATGCGGTGCTGAGAAACGAATCCAGGCAAGTGCTCTACCACTGAGCTGTCACCTCAGCCCACACCCAGCAGTTTTTTTTTTTTTTTTTTTTTTTTTGGTATTACATGCATTTGTGGTGTGTGTGTGTGTGTGTGAGTGAGTGAGCAAAAATCTCATCTGATTTATCACTGTCGGGTCTATTGAGAAAGTGTGAACTTTGATGGCCTTGGCTTTGATGGGCATCTTGTATTATTCACTAGAGCTTAGTTAACAGTATAGACTCAAGAAATGAAGCCTCAGAGTAGCTGTAGGCAAAAAGCCAAATTTAAAAATAATTGAATATAATAGGACTTATCTCTTGTCTTTCCTTCTATTTCTCTATTTACCTTTGTACTTTTCTTTCATTCAATATTTCTTCCCTTTAATAATCTGTTGATTTGTTCTCTTTAAATTTGGGGGTGTTAAGGACCTGACATTACAAAAAAACAGCCTTAAATCGTATTTGGCCAATAGATGACCTTCACCTTTGAAGCCTGTGTAGGGTGCAAATTTCTAGTTGCATCCAACCCAGCACCCATGGGCTGGGCACCCCGTGAGCTGTGGTGTTGTGGGTATAGTGCACCATGGTAAGGGCTGATGGAGGCTAGGGATGAGGAGGTCAAAACCTGTGCTGTCATTCCTCTGACCACCCCAGGTGGAAGGACCTGCAGCTGACCATCATGTGAGCTGGACTTTGCTAAACACACATTATGCCAGGAATAGGCAAGTGGGCTCATCTAGGGGAGCGGAATTAGGGATAGGTGGGGCAGAGGAAGGAGGCATTTCAGAGGAAGGGGTGGCATTGAAAAAGGGTTGGAGGACATGTGTGATTTCAGCGCCGAAGCTGTGAGGTAGGCAAGGAAATTGAAAGGGGCATGGATCTGTAGCTACTCCTTTTTGGGGAAAGTCAGGTGAGCCAGTTTGTTTGACTGGAACTGGCATGTGTGATAATGAAAGAAATCAGGAATGTTAGGTCATGTCCCCTCTACAAGGAGTTAGCCACCAGGGTGACATTTCTGTGCAGGGTGAGGGTGTTATGCAGAGGCTAAAACCAGACTTCAGGGTTCGGATCCCCATGGAGAGACATACACAGGTTCAGTGGGCTTAGGATTTAAGTTTCTAGGATTTTCTGCACCTTCTTTTTCTCACCTGAAAATAGTATGTCATGGTGGTGCCCACCTGAGAGGGCCGTCTGGTGGGACATGGATCTGTAGCTACTCCTATGGCGGATGGCAGGGGATGGGGCCACAGGGCAGCAAGGCATGGCTGTGGATTTATATTTCTCAAGTTTCTCCTCTAGCTGTTAACCTCAGTCACATTTTTCCTGTTCTGATCTGAAAGTGCAGCATTAAGTCATCCAGCACAGTAACTGGTCTTCTGTGGTTTCTTACTCCACAGCGCCCTCTGCTGGGGTTTTAGTTTGAGTCGCAACAGTAGTTCAAGAGGTGGCGCTTGCAGGGCTGCTGCCCAGGCACCTGGTTGAATCACTGCCCACGTAGAGGTCCCTGGAAGAATGAACTGGGAAAGCTTGTGGTTGGTGTGGGCCTGGAGCCTTCAGGAGATGGTGGTGTCCCGGCTGGTTCCTGGCATCCTTGGCTCCAGGCATCTGCTCCTTTGTCTCTTTTCCTTCATGTTGGCACACGAGGGGACAATCATTCTGGCTGTGATCATCCTTCCAGGAAAATGTGATGAAAGTGATGGATTCGTGACAGATCCAAAAGTGTCAAAAAGACGACTCAGAAAGATGGATTCTTCCCTGGCTCTGCCCAAACCCGTTCTTTTGAATTTCTTTATTGTTTTTATTCTAGTATTTAAATCCTATGGAGGAGAATCTTTTGCTTTGTATTTAAAAGATTAATGGAATTAAATGTAAAATCACCCATCCATGGTAATTTTGGGGTATGACCCATGTGAAAACATTGACTCAATATGTGACGTTTTCTAGTATATCAGACATCTTCACATATATGACTTCCTTTGTTCACAGAAGTGTGTATGGTTAGTGAACAAACTCAAGTAATTATAATAATCCCCTTTGACAGAATAGGAGCTGAGGCTTAGCCACTTAAATGGCTTGCCCTAGGCTGCTCTTTGCTGCCTAAGTGATAGAGTCTGTTACTTTTGATCACAATGAAAATACAAGAACCTAGCCTGAGAAAAACATTTCTGAATTGCTTAATAAATGTTAACTATTCTTTAATAAATCATAGAACACATTAGCATGAAATTATCCAATGACTGTGACAGTGAAATTTAGGAAAGTAAGCCATTTGGAAAAGCCTCCTAAAGATGGTATTTGGGGGTGATTTCCAGAGTGCCTACACAGAAAACAGCCGAAAGACTTCCTCTGGACTTGGGTTAGTTTTTAAAAAGCAATTAGAAACTCGAGGAAACTTGTTCTTGGATTAAGTGAAGTGCACTTCAGCCTCAGGATGCAGGCAGAGAGCAGAGGTCGTGGATGAGGTTTGAGGAGGATCGTAGTTTAGATGCAAGTTTCACAGTGGACCTTCTCAAACATAGATCTTGAGCAGTCAGACTGCACACCAGGTAGCCCTGAATGGATTTTGGTGTTCTGTCTTGATCTGCGTGGAGAAAGGTAGAGTGGAAAGAACAGGAGTCTGCTGATCTTGCACCCTTGCTGGGCCTCAGTCTCACCCACGTGGACCAGGGGAAAACGGGCTGCGCTACCCAGAGGTTGTGAGAAGCTGCTACAGGAGGAGTGTGGAGGGGCTTATGATAACCACTTCATAAATCAAGGGGACAGTTTTTCAGGAGTTTCCCTCATTTGAGTGTCTAACCTGTGTGCGCTTTCTTCCCGTATCTCAAAACAGGTGGATGAACTTCTGCATCTATATGGGTCAGCAGCAGATGGTGCTCCCCGCGACATCACGTGGGAAATCCAGGCTTACATTCACTTTCAGGACAATCAAGGAGTCACTGTAACCATCAAGCCAGAACACAGAGTGGAAGACATTTTGACCTTGGCATGCAAGGTAATGAATGGGTTTTACTGCACAAATATACTTATGAATAGAATTAATTGCCACACTCCTGTCCCTTTTAATTTGGTGTAGTGTAAAAGGCTTCTACAGAGGGAGCATGTTGGCGTACTAGTTGATATATTTATTTGCCTTCTTTGATCCCTTCAGCAGAACGAGTTGTTCACCTCCATGAAGAACCTGAGTATTCTATCTAAATTCTAAATACCTTTACACCTAGGATGATTCTCATGTGTATTGCCACTTCAGTTACCTGGAGATGGTACTCTGTTATGAAGGTGGTATAAATGTGAAGTGCTTTGATATTATCTTAAATCCTTTTACCTGGTTTCTCCAGACAAAATAAGTAACTCGATACCATTCACAGTTGCTTCATGGAGATTGACACAAGATGATGTTTTATTCATTATTCAAACTAGACTTTATTCCTAGTCTGAAAAGGAAGTACATGATAAGTGTTAAAGACAGCCTGCAGCCAGATGAAATCCATTCACAAAGGAAGCTCGGAAGCTTTCAGACCACCAGGTGGCACAGTAGAGCTTAAATATCGAAGTTAAATATTGAGAGTGTGTAATGTGTGTAATGGAGAAAAAAGGCTACATGTAGAGTTGGTGACTCTGTACCACATGCAGGCAATAGATAAGGCTGATGGTTGCTTTTAGTACTCTCCTGTCATTTTGACTTGAGGCTTTAGGATTCTATATGTTTACATATGTACCCTGCAGCCTCAGAAACGTATGTACCTTTTGTTCCAGTATGAGAGGTTTTTAATGCAGAAAAACAACAGTGGTATTCATAGGCCTGAGTAAACTTCTCAGTGTTGAAAATGTATAGGGTGGGAGAAAGAATGTGTATTTGTACATTTTTCTTTTGAGAAATTATGTGGTGGGAAATTCCCAATTTTGAGGTCTGTAGAACCTGAGATTATTCACATCTACTTTAGTTATGGGAAGCCACTTAAAGTTACATTCAACCAATATATAAAGAGACGGCGTTTACCATTATAGCAAAGTATATTCTACCATCAGATTTGTTTTACCTTAATTTTATCATTAAACGCATCCCTTGCATTTAATGATAAAATCATTTAGAGAAAAATCATTTCCTAGAAATGATTATTTGTCTATTCTTTCTTACATAAAATTTGAGCTCTTTTATAGTTTTAAACTCAGCAAATTATATAGTCTTTGTGTGTGTGTGTGTGTGTGTGTGTGTGTGTACGTGCGCGCGATAGGGATCGAACCTAGGAGCAGCACTTAACCACTAAGCCATGTCCCCAGTTCTTTTTTTTTTTTTTTTTAATTTTGAAACAGGGTCTTGCTAAATTGCTGAGAGTCTCTCTAAGTTGCTGTTGCTGGCTTTGAATTTGCAATCCTCCTCCCTCACCTCCCAGACTGTTAGGATTACAGGCATGTGCCACTATGCCTGGTTTATAGTCTTTTCTTTTTTTTTAAAAAAAAGAGATTTCTACTTTGATTTTAATGGGCCTGCTGAACAATGATAAATTTGGAAAGAACATTTAAAATCTGAATTCCTGTCTTTTTTTTGTTTTGTTTTGTTTTTTCCTAGATGAGGCACTTGGAACCCAGTCACTATGGCCTTCAACTTCGAAAATTAGTTGATGAGAGCTTCGAGTGCTATATTCCTGCCCTGGGTGAATACATGCAAGAACAGGTGAGTGCATTAACTATGGAAAAGGGAATCTGAATCATATCTGAGGCCTTTTGGGTTTGAAAAATGTAATTTTGAGGGAAAATGGCTTAAATTTCGCACATGGTTTGGAAATGTCCCTCATCTAAAGTGTAGTTTGTTGATAGCTTTCTTGTTTTGTTATGGAAAAAAAAGTAAAAAATAATCCAAGATACCATAATATCAAACCTCTGATTTTGTTGTTTCTGCCGTTTGCAGGTTTATGATGAAATAGAAGTCTTTCCACTAAACATTTATGATGTGCAGCTCACGAAGACGGGGAGTGTGTCTGACTTTGGTAAGTGCAGGGAGCTTTGTGCCACTCGGCCTTGCTGGTCCCCACCCCCCATCTTTGGACCTTGTTGTTTTATGTTCACGTTTTCAGAGAATGACAGTAGATTCTGAACTTCCTTTCTCTTTTTTACATTACTATTTACATTACTAGAATAAAATATGTCAGTATTTGGGAACAAGGCCTGAGTAATGAAAAGAATGAATATGAACATTGATGAGTAGCCACAGTAATAACACTGTGAATTTACCAGGAGACAAATGTTCAAGGAAATACTGCCAATGGGTTGGGGAAGTGGAGGGGTGAGGTGAATTTAACTTTTCTTTTCATTCCCAGGGTTTGCAGTCACAGCCCAGGTGGACGAGCACCAGCATCTCAGCCGGATATTTATCAGTGACGTTCTCCCTGATGGCTTGGCATATGGCGGAGGTCCGTGTGGCACCATGTCTGTTCTCTCTAACTCTCAAACTGTAGAAATGTGGTCTACTTTGTGCAATTTTTTGTTTTGTTTTGTCAAAAAAAATGGTTTCTCCTGCAATTTTAAAGAAAATAAACTTAAGAGTTTAATTGAAAATGCATGTGTATATAGACACAGAAAGCTTGTGAGCATGCACATGTACATTTTAAAAGAGAGAGCATGCGTTCATGTGTACAGATGGAGGGAGAGAGTATGAGAGGCAGGCAGACACAGATAAAGCAAACTCCATTTCCCAGGGCATTTGCCCTCAGAACATTCATCAATCAGTGGCTCTGCAAATTGTGTCATGTCAGAACTCTTCCCTTTAGTGCTGTGGCTCTGAGTGGCTTCTAGCTACTGTAAGATGTGGTTCTTTCTCTGAGGGAAGCAACAGGCAAAACCATCCCTCAGGGTGCATGGTTTGAGTTTGCAGACTTCCAGATATTTCAATAACCTGTTTTCTTCCTGTTTCCCTATGCTGCTGCTCAGGATTGAGAAAGGGCAATGAAATCATGACCTTAAATGGGGAAGCTGTGTCTGATCTTGACCTCAAGCAGATGGAGGCCCTGTTTTCTGAGAAGAGCGTTGGACTCACTTTGATTGCCCGGCCTCTGGACACAAAAGCAACCCTGTGTACTTCCTGGTCGGACAGTGACCTGTTCTCCAGGGACCAGAAGGGTCTGCTGCCCTCTCCCAACCAGTCCCAACTGCTGGAGGAATTCCTGGACAACTTTAAAAAGAATACAGCAAATGGTAAGTCTGCGTCCTCTTCCTTCTTACTGGCTGGTATTTTTTTCTCAGGCTGATACATTGTTGCAAACTCAGATGATACGAACTTTTCAAAGAATCCTTCCTAATTTGTTAAGAGAGGAACACAGATGCCAACTGGAATAGATTGTAGCAAGAGTCCATGCATTTTGGTAGTTATGGTGCTTTCCTGAAAATAGAAAGTAATTTTTTATACCTTTATTTTATTTATTTTACTAATGTGGTGCTGAGCATCAAACCCAGTGCCTCACCTGTGCTAGGCAAGTGCTCTACCACTAAACCACTACCTCAGACCCCAAATTAATAATTTTTGCACAGAATATTCTTTAAAATTGCAGACTCTTTAAGCTCACCCACGGTATTTAGTACCACAGTTGCCCGTGATGGAAGGCAGGTGAAGGCCTTCATAAAAGCTGAAGTCGAGGGTTTTTCCTTACTCTTTTGGGTCTAGGGCAGGCCCCTGTTGAGCACTATACTGGCTCTTGTAGCAGCCAAAGTGGTTCATTTCTTGTCAGATGCTTTCTCAGTAAGCAGGAAACTTTCAACATAGGTTGTGAATTTCAAAACTTGGTGAAGGCCTAAAACTGAAAAAATTTGATGCCAGTGTATTTTTCTCAAGGTAAAATTTCCATCTGAGGAAATCATCCCAAAGCTTAAATTTCTGAAGTTATTGCTCATGCATATTGCCTATGCTGCAATTTAATGGATTAGAGGCTCCAACTATTTGGGAACATGAGAGGTAGCACTCTGTGTCCCTGAGGTCAAGCTTCAGAGGAGCCCAAGACAGGGTCCTCATCCTGGGAACACAATACTCAACTAAAATGACAATGTATCTCAATCGAAGCCTTTGCATGATTACCAAAAATAAATGAAAAACCCCAAAGAAAAGGATGGATATAATTATAAAGCAAGTTTATTAGGTCACTTTTGGAATTAAAAAAAATCAGATTTTAAGATTTGTGACTCAATAAGATACCTAATGCTTTCTCCTCCTCTCTTGTGGTTTTCTTCCCATTTAAAATGCTATTAAATTGACTATTGGGATATAAAAGGGAGCATCATAAAACAAAAAGTTATGATGGAACTCATTAATTACGTGCCATATTAGGCCATCACTCAACCTGCTGGCTGCTGTCACAAGCCTGAGTGCTCCACATAATCTGTGCGTGTGTCGCTTTGCTGGATTCATTACTCTTGAGGGATGTGTGCACTTCCTGTGTTATACCTCTGTGCGTTTTATCACAATAAGGAATCACTGAAGAGTCTATTATACTTTTGATACTTTCATAAGTGAATTCCTATAGAAAGCAGCAAAAGGGTCGAATTTACCTTTTTTTTTTAAAATAGAATGAAGCAGGTGAGGTAGGCTTGTCTACCACTTTCTGCAAGGAAACAGGATGGAAAGGTGGTCCTGGGTGTGTCAGATGGCCGCTCTAGTCCTCGTCCTAAGAGCCTCTCTGGTGGTCTGGACTTTGATAACTTCCCCGAGGAGCTGTGAGCACAGGTCACTTGGCTAGCCAGCTGCAGCAGGGCTTGTCCATAGCTGGCCTTACCGCTGGTGCCCGTCTACATGGCTGCAGCGCCCACATGTGCAGATTTCTTCCCTGGACGGGGCTTCCCCACCAGCCAGGGAGAGCCACTAGACCCTCCCTTCCTGGTTTCCTGGTGGGACTATGTTCCTTGGAGGGTGACAGCATCCCAGGCAGTGTGCCATCCCTTCTGCCCTAGGTGGTGGTGTTTGTCCCCTTTCCTGAGCTCCAGGTGACTGTTCCATAGTAATGTGCTTGTGCTGGAAAGAAAACAGGCACAGGGGCCAGCTTCTCCACACACTTTGCAAACATAATTATTTTTCTTTCTTTTTGGGATAGTTACGTCACTTGGGAAGGAAGTTAACGGCCTGTGAATGAACACTTCAGAAGGAAACCTATTCATTCTGAAGGTAGCAGGGTGGATGTAAAATATGGGGTGGGCAGGTAAGAAATTGAAAGAGAAAAGAAAGAGCAAACTTCTCATTTGTACAAAACATCTCTGTGTTAAAAGAAGCCTGCGTTTGTGGCATTTCTGAGAGGGGCTGTGAGGACAAATGTGCAGGCCCAGTGAGAGTGGGGCTTGAGTCTGGTTTGGGGGGCCTGGTGGGGGGTGCTACCCCTCTTCCTCCTCCCTTGCAGAGGCTCCATGCTGTTCTTCGAGTGGCCCCTGGGGGGCGCCCCGGTGCACATAGAGATGCCTCACACTGTTCATGGGCTTCTGCCAGTTTCTCTCTGCTGCTCTGGGGACCACCTGCCACATAAACACCTATAACCACCCCTTGTCTGAAACCCTGATTCTCCCGCTTCCCTCGCCTTTGCAGCTTAACATTTTATTGAAACTAACTTTGATTTGCTTTTGCAGTGAAGCAGAAAATGGTAATCCTGTTTTCTTTCTAAAAAATAAATAAATAAATAAATTGGCACAGATAAAAACTTAAATGCCTTTGCAAACCAGTTATTAACACAATTCTGGTTTATGCTTAGCAGTGGTCATTTCTAGACGGTGTCTGGGTACTTGGGAAGAGGGAAGGACAGCTCTGCTTCCTTGCCCAGAAAGGCCACTTCTCTGTCTGTTAAGGACTCCCTGGAAGAGAAGACCTGTTTTATAAGAATATCAGAAGATGGAGGAGGAAGGAAGCATTAACTGGTTGTTTGGTCATATTTGGAATATTTACTGACCTCCTCCCTATTGAGTGTTTGAATGTGTGAGGTCCTGGGGGAAAGCTACATGGAGCTTAGGGCTTTTGGTCTATTTTGGATTTTGTCAGATATCCAGACATTTATGTTGGTTAACCTTAGTCTCTTGATTAGGTTTGAGTAGAGGGGGAAAAAATTATTTGTCTCTATCTGTGTCTAAAAGAAGTGTTAGTCACAGTGACATGAGAGCCAGGGAAGTGGTTGTGGGCTGCTGTTTAGGATCTTGTTTTGTTTTTTTTTTTAAGAAAAGATGGGTTCTACTGGTATTGAAGGCTGCTTGATCTGTATGTATAACATTCAGGGAAATGGGTCTCAAACTCCACAGTGAGTGAGACTTGCTTGATGGGTCCTGCTATGAGAGCGCCTCCTTCAGGTGATTTGGGGCAGTGCAGGCTCCACTTTTAGCCAACCAGGGTGGGCCCCCCCGTGGCCACACCTGGTCAGTGCGTGCACTCACACTGCCTCCTGGCCAGTAATCTACAGGAGGCAAGCCTGGACCTAAGCAGCCCCTCTCTTTGAGTTCTTAAAAATTGAAGGAGATTATAGCAAAAGGTAACTGTTGTGCTCAGATGGGGTGTTCTCTCGGTTAGGAAATATGTGCCTCAAACTGCCACCACTGTCCTCTGTAGTGGTCAGAAAGCAGCAAGTGGACTGGTTAACTCACCTCGCTCCTCAGCCCTTGCTCAGGAGACTGTTCTATTCAGTAGGTGAATCCACCAAGAAGCAGAGGATTCCCAGTCATCAGCTTCCCTTCCTGACGTACTCACTGACCAGATACTGAGAACTGATCTGTGTTCCATAGGAAGTTCCTTAGCCCCCGAAGAAGTGAATGGCTCTTTGATTTTTGCCTTTAATTCCTGTTCTAATATTCATAGGAAGAGGGAATGTCCATGAGCTGTATTTGACTTGAGCTGAAATATCATCTGTAAAGACTTTTTATAGGGAGAACTAATTTCACCACTGGAATTCCCCAGAGGGAATTTTAGTTATTTTAGTGCCAACAAGGCCATCATTGATGGGACCGGGTGTTCCAGGCCTGTTTATGCTGGATTCCTGTTCATGAGCTTTTATGAGTTATGCATGAAAATCCCTTTTCTAGTGTTTGCCATCCTTTGAACAATTCCAGCAGCTTTTAGGGAAGTCTCATTGGACACAGAGTTCCTGAACAAGGTCCTTATGTCAACACTGGACTCGTGGCTTTGACACATGCTCTTGATGCCTTGGTGTAGTGTGGGGGTGTGTTTAACGGGAGATGAAATGGGAAAGGCCAGGGCAGACCCAGCGAATGTGTCCCCAGTGGTGAAGGTTCCTCTCGAGCCTCAGGCTCCCTTTGAACCTCTCTCTTTTTGAGAAGAAGCCACTTAGATGTGAGTTTGCTCTCCTGGATGCATTGCTCCTGGGGATGTGTGTGTCCACGGTACAGCTTTTCACCAGGGGAAAGTCTTACAGAGCTGGCTGTGATGGGGCCAGGCCACTCATTTCCTGTTTGTGAGAGTGAGGGCATTTTGTTTAGGATGACTAATAGCATTTAGCTTGGAGAACACACTGTTTGTGTGTAAAACCGCTATTACTGAGTCTGTCTGGCTGACACCCTCGACTCCAAGATATAAAAACATATTAGTGTTCCTAAAGAAGGGAGATGCATTTTAATTTTTTTTTTTTTTTTTAAAAGCTGATTGGGAAATATCGGTTTTGTCAGGACTTGGAACTTTGGTCTCAGATTAAGTAGTTCCTTAGAAGCACTCTGAAAGGAGGTTTTAGTGCTGTGCATCACCAGAATGGAGTATGTGGCTTTCTGTTAGCTGTGGGGAGAATTAAGACCTTGAGGACTCATTCCCTTGCTGAATTCTGTTTGGGAGTCTGATTCCCTTTTTCTCACTCTTGCCGTTCACTTATTTGACCTGGGTATGTAAGGATGAATTCATTGTATAATCTCAAAAAACTTGCAGTTGAGTGGAAATACTTGTGAATAATAAAATACATTAAAAATCAAAACTTTTGTGGTGAAGAGAACAGGGGTTGGAGGTGGGATTTGACCTTGGCGTGTGAAGATGAATTAGAGAGCGGAGGAGTGCACAGTTGAGGACTGGACCCGCAGCCTGAGCGCCCAAGAGATTTCTAGCGCCCTTGAGATTTCTAGAGGGGATGGCATTTGATCTGGGCACTGCTGACGCACAGGTTCTACGCCCAGAGGAGGCAAGGGAGTCTCCCATGGAGCCGGTGGCCTGCACAGAGGTGGCAGGCAGAGCTCATGGGAAA